TTACATGTTCCTGTTGAATGTTATGGTGACTTCAAGACTCGTATATGTCTCTTGGAAAAGCACATAGGAAACTTTCTTTGTTATAAGTAAATGCAGCTCAAACTTCCAAGAGAACTCATTCATGTTGCTGATTAAGAGTTAAAACCACATTTGGTTTAGGGATTTTGAAGGGAAGGAGTGATATGTATTTTATTAATGTTTTACAGTAGATGGTTGCAAAGAAAGTGAAAATGATAAATTATACATAAAACAAGATTTAAAAAGGGTTTAGTTGTTTTCCAATCTAAGACTAACAAATGAAGATAAATTAAATAAACCAATTCTCCATTCCCTTCCAAAATCCACCGACCAGGTTAGTGAGCAATATAAATTGCTTGCTTGTATATTTGTAATAATAGTATGTCTGAGTTATTACACATGTCAGGTAGTCAGATACTTTGCTTCTTTTATCGCTTTTTGGAAGTAATGAATAACTCACCATCTTCAGGTTAGGCGCAACCTTGAACAAGCAAAGTCCATTCTTGACACTCTTGTCAAGGTAAGTTTAAATAGAAATAGTGTTAGATGAGCTGCAAAGAAATACTATATCTGCCAGCTTTCATGAACTTTTCATTTGAATTGCTTGCAGAGGGAAGAGAAAAAACGAGACCTTATGGAGAGTGAAATTAGCCTTCAGAGGCTTCAAATGCAACATAAGGTATACCAGTGGGTTTGATTTTTTAATTTACTTTTTTTTTGTGTTTGCATTTGCAAAATGAGGTGGTGGTATATCATGACATTTTGGAAACTACTTCCTAGAATTTCCCACTTTTTCTTTTCACTTTTTCAGTTTTTCAATTTCCTTTCAAGGCAAGGAATATGCCTCTCACAGTTTTTCTCTCTTATGAACAAATTTTAACCACACACTTTTCTTAAGTCCCGTGAACTCAAAGTGAGAAATTCTTTTTGGGACAGAGGGAGCATTCAATTTCTAATTCCTACTTGTAGGTCAATTAGGCAAACAGAATCTCCTGTTCCAAACTTGGCCCTGCTTTGTGTTAAAAATAAGTTGGTGGTTGACATTTTTTTCAATTAGATTTGTTCGGGTCCTTGAATGTAACTGTAGATTTCTGCAAAAAAAAAACCACATTTCCTTATTAAAAAAACTACTTCTATTAAATAGTTTAAAAAAATTAAAAATTAACTTGATATAATTGTTAGCTTAATATGATTGATTATTCATATAATCAGGTGTGCGGGTAAGGATCCGTTTGGTAAGGATTATCTGGCTGAATTTTGTGCAACGGAAAGTTTTTTCAATTCATTTCAGCCTAGCTAGTCAAAAGCTACTTATTATGCTTATTCTCTTGATAAGCAGACTAAGTAGACTATGCCAGATAAGGCTACCAAGTGGAGCCTAAATCTTCATTGGTACTTGCTAGTGAAATTGGTTGTAGAATTGTCATTAGTTTGCAATTTGACCGCCTAGGCATTACGGTTGGCTTTCTGGATTTCAGTTAAGTGTGTTGCAGGACCGGATGTCTTTGTGACTCAATAGCAGAAGACCTTGTTTTCCTCTTTTCCTTTGACATCATTTTGCTCTAAATAATTTACAAAACGGATGCTTTTATGTGCTTTCAGAATGATACTGAGCTTCTAAAAGATATTTTCACTCTACACGGATTTCATTCATTTCCAAGTATGGCTGGCTCAAGTGAAGATGAATTTGTTGACTCAGATGATGCTGATATTTGCCACCCATACAATCAACCTTCTGTGGCGGTACATAATCTTCCTTCCATGGACCCAAAGGTCAGGTTTGCTTCCACCGGGAGCATGAGGAGAAAGTTCAAACATCGTCAGGCCCCAACTGGGTGGCTCCACAACTTGGTGCGTGCTTTTTGTCTAATAACTCCC